TGTTATATGTGTTATATATTTTGTCATCTCTCCTGAAATCAATAAAATTCACGAATCATTTCAATTAGTGGCCAATTGATTGAAAAATATTAAACACAATAACAAGCATATAAGAAATCACACATATTGGACGTCAAAAATATTTAATTTATATTAAAAACTTCATAATAAAGGTTCATCTATATCTTAGTAATTAAAATTCTAGCCTAACATTGGAGGCAATTTATTTTGCAACCTAACATTGCTCTCTTATGTTAATGCCACTTCTTCAAATTTTGGAAGCTTTCTTTTATTTGATATCATGTCTTTTAGGAACTTCGCATAATTTGAGATGTGTCTAATTGTATCGATGAATGATATGTTGATGTGGAGCTTTCTCAGCATGTCCAAAAACTTCTCAAGTTGCTCATCGAGCTTCATTTTCTTTAATATATGAGGGAAGGGAACACGAGATACATAAGTCTTGATAGGAATGGTTGCCTTAACCTATGGATCATCCGACTTTTGATCTGGAACTATCTTTGTTGACTATTTAGATCTATCCACTTGCTCCTCATCTGTGGAAGGCACCTTCTCATTTGCTACCACCCGTCTCTTAACTGTAATTTCTGGAAGTTGAACCCCACTACGCGTAGTAATTGCCTGAATTGGAGTTAGTGCTTTCACATGTGAGTCCCCAGTTGTTTCATTCTCCACAACACTCACTGTCATTACCTATTGTTTGGGATTTATTTCAACTGATTTTACAAACGGACTTCCCGCATTGTAATCCACACTTTCATGACTTTCAACCAATTGCATCAATGAAAACTGTCAGATATTCAATTGTTGTACACGTCCAAAACCTCGAGATATGAGGTTTAATTGCTCAAAACTTATTTTCTTTTCATGCAAGTTCCATACTTGCAATCAAACACACCCTAATAGTTACATTCTACGCTATTTTATAAATTAACAAATTAGAACCCCAAACATAATATATGCACATATCTCAAAGAATATCAAGTTCACGAATAGCAACCAGTATCCCGTAAATAGTTTTGATAACCTATAAAACACGCGTCATTAATTTTTCTAGCATTGTCTCGTATAAAATTAATCATCACTTTAATTGGTTCATCCAATACACATCCAATTGAGACAATGTCATTACTCGTGAACGGATAATAGTCATAATCAAGACAAACTCACAGTTTTCTTACAGTTTCTCTTCAATAGTTTTTCCCTTTCTTAGAGCATTCTCCCCCTTCTCCTATCCTCTCCTTTCCTTTCTTTCTTTTAGCCCATTCATTTGATTGCCTACCACTTCTATGCTTTATGTGGAGTCATTTGCAATTTTGATTTTGGACACTCGTGTTTTCTAGATTTATTTATACTGTTGCATTGGATGCTCTTGGAAAGGGAAGGAGACCAGTGGAAGCACTCAATTTGTTTTGCCAAACTCGTAAAGTGCATCTTTGTTAATATATTCGAATAATGTGGAGGAGAAAATATACGAGTTGATTCAGCTTCTTTCTACACTCCTAACATGAGCACATGGCTTCTTCGTACTCGAATATCGTCGTTTATAATTGTATTGCTGTAACTCTTGGACAATCGGGACATATTATTGTTGTATCTGAATTGATGTGTTTAGTGTCTGAGTTGGTGTGTATAAACAGGCTGCATAAAAAAGAGGACAGGGACCTAATCAGCCAATGCAAACATACGTAGGGACGTTTTATATAAAAATATTCGAAGGTAGGGATTGCCTTTGCAAAACAGTTCAAAAGGTAGGGATATTACATGCCAAACATATTATTAGGTAGGGATGTTTACCATAAGTTTAATTTTAGGCAAAAAGGGGACGAACTCTAGTTCATCTTCACCATTGAAATTTGATGGATAATTCACTATTAAAATTTAATGGGTAATTTTCAACATTAAATGTGTCATTATTCTTCTCATTTTACCCTTAGTTACCGCCTTAGTTGCAAGATAAAATGGGGATGAACATCTCCAGTTTATCGATCACATGTTCAATATTTTCATCTACCATTCAAATTTTATAGATAATCCGCCATTAAAGTGGCTATTGTTCTTCTCATGGTGAAATACAATATTCTTCACGTCATTAAAAAAAAAATTGGATTTTGAGGAAAAATGTATTTTGAAATAATGATTTTTTGAAAAATGCGTGATTAAAAAATATGGATTTTTTTTTGGTTTATGTGTAATATTATTTTATTGATAAATATGTTATTGAATATAAGAGAGAAAAATGTGTTATTGACAAAAATGGAGTCCAAACAAAGGCTTAATGGAATAATTTATAAATTATTTTTATATTATCTTATTGTGAGTTTATGGAATAACTTGTTTAATGCCGGAAGAAAGGGGCAAACTTTTCTAAGACGATATTACCCTTCCATTTTGAAAAGAAAATTGACCACGTGTTGACTTGATAGGGAAATTGACAGGAAATGGATGGAAGGACGATTTGCGCAATCAAATATTTAATTAAGAATGGAAGTGCCAAAAAATAGAACCTAATGACTTTTTTCACAATAATATTAAAAGGTAGGTACGTCATTTGCTAATTACCCTAAGTGTCCGTTTGATCTCAAGAATGAAATTTGAGTGGAAAGAAAACAAATTTCAGGGAATTGAATTGTCTAGAATTTGTTTTATTGAGAATTATCAATTAATCGTGTTTGATTCGTATACTTTTCTACCTGGAAAATGTTAAAATTTAAAATTGAATAATGTACAGAAAAATAATGTACTTTGTGATAAGAAGCATTTTTGGGAATAAAAAATGCAAAAATGAAGTGTAAAAAAAAAAAATTTTAAAATTGAATAGTGTAAATAATGTTATCTCCCTTACCAAGAAAAGAAAAAAACTAGCTCAAACATAAGAATTTCAATTCCTCAATTTTGTGGAATTAAGGGTCACGTGAGGCCAAGTGAGAAAAAGAATTGCCAAAAAAATTTGTCCTATCAAACAAGTTAAAAAGTGAAAAATGTGGGATAATTTCAAGGGAAAAATTCACTTTCCCTACTTTATCTTTACCCTATTTCAAAAATAACAAAACAACTTTTACATTTCAAAAATCAGATTTTTTGACCTATATATACACATATTTATAAATATTTATTTATTTAAATATATAAAAAGATATA